CACTATTCCTTTTTATGTTCCATTCGCACTGGAGTTTTGCCACAAAGCGAATCCCATCGATAGGAATCTACTAATTCCTGTTGCTGTGTTTGATGGCTGCAAAGAAATGGCTGTGACCACTGAGCATGTCCACTGCAATGACAGACTGTCAGCGGCTGCAGCTATTCCTGCCAACTTTGAATGGAGCCTTATCCTAATCCACACAGTACCTTGAAATCTTAGCAATACTTCCCAGTTCTAAAGTGGTTAGAAGATCGACCTGAATGCTATTGGTGGACTACGAAGCACTGTCTATTCCTCTACTATTTGCATTTCATGGAGGCACTGCTGTAAAGCTTTGGTTTTATTTTTTCTTATGTGGGTAAGCAGCTCTGATGTCTAAGAAAGGAAATACATGGCCTGACAGGGAATCGCTTACTGAATTAAATATGACTGAATACTGCAGAAGTTGACGCTGTTAATTCGGAGGGGAGGTGGAATCGGAGGGGAAGTCCAGGGGTGTTTCAGTAATCGCCCATATGCCAGACATTGGTGGCTTTTAATCAGCTTTCCACCACAATCGTTTCCAGCGATCAAACAGTCAAAATACAGTGGAAGTTGACTGTAACCACTTCAGTCCCACTTGGATAGGCTTTTACAATCCATTACCTTGAAGCAATGAGACATTTTGTGGTTAAAAAAGCTAATCGAAAACAACAACATTGGTATGTGTATGGTCAAAGAATGTTTTGCCCATAATATCCACATTTTTTTAGTTTTCCAAACTGCATTACAAGTGTGAACATTACTATTTTTTTTTTTTTTTTTTTTCCTTTTTAATACAATACAATAACATTTTTGTGGTAATCAAAACCTATGTGTTCTTTGCATTAACCTTTAAAGATATAGGCAGCACATATTCAGCATGTTGTGCTTTGATTTTTCACATTTCTGCTTTCCAGAAATCCTTTCCTCCATTTTCTTACAATATAGGGAGACTTTGTCTTTTTGTAGACTTGGTTTGAGGCCAGAAGAAACACAGGAGCCAAGGATGCATTCCAAATGGGACTGCTGTCACCTTTTCCAGGCCTGTGGAAAAGGAATATATTCTGCCAATAGTGCACTTTTTGTTCAGTAAATGATACATAGTGCTCATATGCCTAGCGATCATTTATTTGGTGGCTTTAACTAGAATAAGCTTCTATTTCTGTAGCTATTCATATCTTAAATATGTCATAGATTTTATAGTCAGGATAGCAGTCCAGAATGCTCCTCCTGTGTCTAGCTTTTGCTCTATCTTCTGTCAAATAATGAGCTACAAGCAGGGAGATTCCTTAGCAGGCTTATTGGAACATCAGGTAATAAAAAGCATGAAATACAATAGGAAGTAAAGATCTAATGAGGTGGGAATAACCTCCAAAATTATCATGTGCCTGTAGCTGCTGATTTGGAGCATAAACCTCTACCTATCATGTTGCTACTGAGAGCAAAGAGGTTCAGGATCATCACAAAATCGATTTTTTTCTTCTTTTTTTTTTTTTTTTTTTTTTTTTTTTTTGTTTTATTTTGATGATCTCTGTCCAGGCTTTGCCCAATGAGTTTTTCCATTTTACCTGCACACACTTACCATGGAATGGCAAAAAACTGACCACAAATATTAAGTGACTGAAAAACATCTGGACCATACCATGGTTTTAATTGTGATTTGGACAGAGGAGATTCAGCTTTTGGACCAATGAAACCTGGCCAACATTAGTTTTACATGCACACTAGTGTTTTTTAAGCTCCTTGAAGCTGTGATTGAGTTTTTTCTGCTCCTAGCTATATAGTGTTACCCTACACTACTTTAAGCTTTTTTTTCCCCTCTACATAAACTGCAAAAAAAAATGCTAATAAAATACTAACGTTACTAAAGCATGCTATTACCAGAGTTTAACAAAAACGCTAGTGTGCATGGAGCCTTAGAATGATACTGTATTTCCTTTTAGCTTTGTCCTTGCAGCAACAAAGGGTGGTTGTCTGAAGACCCCTGAGGTTGTGTTATTCAGCCATGTTTACCTCCAGTAACATCTACAAGCCCCATTCTGTTGAAGAGTATCTTGCTTGAAGCCTTTTTTTTTTTTTTTTTTTTTTTTTTTTATAATTTCTTCTCTGTGTGGGGTTTTTTTTTTTTTTTTTTTCCTTCTAGTGCTTTTTAGATTGGGATGTCTAACAAATGGGTAAACAATAAGCCTAATAATCATCCTTGCATTTTGAAACCCCTACTCCTGAGGGCTCATTCACAAAGCACCTGGACAAAAACGGCAGTTTCGGATAGATGCGGCCGTTCAACCTCTACACAGCAATGACATGCTGACAGCTAATATCCGAGGGTATTTGCCTAATAACTGCACAGGGGGGCGAACACGTACAGGTAATTGCTCCTTGTGCAGTCACTCGCGAATCCCCACAGGCAGCTGTCAGCCTGTCATTGCTTGACCAAGTCACCACAACTATCTACATCTAACTGTGAATGAGGCCTTATTATACTTGCTGATCATAGTGTCACAAGTTAGCCTGCAGTTCCCTGTTTGTGTATTCTTACCTCCTTGCTGCAGTGCTGTTCCTGATCACTTTCACATGTGTGTTTGTCTGTGCTCACCTATGGGCGCCGTCTGCTGTTCTCTGGCTTTTCTTTCCTTCCCTTCCATCACTTCCTTGCCCGCCTCCTTGTTTTCCTGCCTATATAAGACATGCTCAGTCTAGACCACTTTGCCTGAGCAACTTTCTAGTTGTCTGAGCTCCTGTGTGTTGCTAGCTCCTGTATCCTGCTTTGACTACTCGTGTACTGACCCCGGCTTCGTTCTCTGACTGTGCTTGGTTTCCGCCTGTCCTGACCTCGGCTAGTCTATCGGATTTCTGTTTGTCTCCTCCCATTGTACTCTGCTCCCACGAGCGGTCTCCTCATCCTAAGCTGGGGGTACCTGGGGGCCACAACCTGGTCCCAGCTTGCTGCAAGTCCGCCCTCACCATTAGGGGCTCTGGTGAAGAAGCAGGCTGGGGCTTATACTCCGTGCCCTGGGGAACCCCAAGTTGACTATCTACAAGGGCTCACTACCACAGGTTAATGACACACAGCTCCTTCAAGAACCACTTGGAGCCATATAACCACCACTGAAGTTTCCCAGCCTGGCCCTTCTGCATATGCATGTCCATTCATTCTATAGCGTGTCCGTCCACTGTTGAGGCACTACTAAATTGCCTCTGCTCTAACCATTTTGCAAATTTCCTCCTTTTTTGGCTTCTATACCTAGTACTATTAGTAGCTAATGGGACGGTTTAGCTGAGTCTGTTCAGCTTCACTGCAAGTAATTAAAAAAAAAAAACAAACATATTTTTGATTTTTTGCTGAAAAACCTATCCAGTAAAAAAAATGGCCAAAATGTATTCTGCTACATGTCTTTGCTTAAAAAAAAAAAAAAAAAAAAAAAAATCACAATACATGTAAATTAATTGGTTTACGTGAAAGTTATAGCGTCTACAAATGGCGATTTATATACTGGAGTTTTTATATATATATATATATATATATATATATATATATATATATATATATATATATATATATATATATATTATACACACACACACTAGTAATGGCGGTGATCAGCGCGACTTATAGCGTGATTGCGGCAAGCGTTCTTACACTGGGTGGGAAATGAGTAACTGCCAATGACACTAATACAGTGATCTGTGCTAATAAAAAGCACTGACCCTGTACTAATGACACTGGGCAGGAAGGGGTTAGTGTCTGGGGCGATCAAAGGGTTAACTATGTGCTGTTTTACATGATGTGCTGTGTGTGTTTTGCTAGGAAAACATGCTGCTGTGTATTAATACACAGCAGCATGTCCTTGCTGTCAGGAGAGGGACTTGTTTTGTTTACACACAGGTCTTTCCCTTGTCAGTTCCACACGGCGATCGCCGGGTACCAGCAGGGAATCTCAGGCCGGGACCTGGTGATTGACATCCATAGCCGCCAATGGTGGCATGAGCCCCCTACCCGGAAATGCGAATCACGCGCGTGTGTACGTGATTTTGCAGTCGTTCTACTATATATAGGCGGCGGCGGGGGGGGGGAAAGCGGATAAAGGGCTACCAAATGTAAATTACATAAACCAGCAACTATCTTTTTTGGTGCTTCTGTTGGGATAAAGGCTAACAAAACATGTTTTTTGTGTGTTTGTTCTAGCCATCGTTAGAGTGGGAACCTTGGTGAAATTATATCGCGGTCTGCCACCTTGCTATGCAGGGATCAGAGGCATGTTGTCATATTTATAAATACATTGTAGGTATTTTAAAGGAAAGCACTTTTTTTTTTTTTTTTTTCGGATTGAGTAAAGGAGGGTTATAACTAGGGCTGCAACTATTATTTTCAAAGTTGATTAGTTGGCCAATTTTAATGTTTCGATTAATCAGATAAAAAAGCTCAGTTTGGTGTATAGTTTAGTTTAATATGTAAAGTTTAAAGAGGCAATTTATTCTTGAATATCTACTGTATATGCAGTGGTAAATGTATAGTTAATAACCAGCTATATGGTAGGGAACCAAATATCTACTCCACTCAGAACAGACAGAAGAAATGTATATTCTATTAGAGGATGATACATATCAGACTCAGATCTTAATTTTTTTTTTTTTTTTTTTTTTTCTTTCTTAAAAAAAAAAAAAAATAAATAAACAAACAAATGACAAGGGAGCAGCAATTGGTTGCAATGTGATGTTGTTGTTTTTTTTATTTTTTTTTATCACCTGTCATGATAGAGTTAATAAACCAAAAGTTATGCCTTTACAGTACAAATACAGCAGATAATCACCCCTTTAAGGTGTTAATATATACTGTGAAACCATGAAAAAAAATATACCCAGAATTCGGATCTACAGGGAGTCAGAGATTAAAGCGGCGTTCCACTCACCTGTCAAAAAATAAAAGTCAGCAGCAACAAAAACGGTAGCTGCTGACTTTTAAAAAAAAAAAAAAAAGCCACTTGCCTGTCCCTCGGCCCGTTTCACTGGCTGTCCTGTATTCCAGGAGGCTGGCATCTTCAGTGTGGGCACCTGGCTGTGATAGCTTGTGGCTTCACAGCGGGGTACCCGCTGCGCATGCGCGAGTAGCGCTGTGCTTTCTAAATGGTCCTGTAGTCTTCTGGGACCTGTCATGTGTCCCAAAAGACTACAGGGAGGGAGGACAACTTCCGTTTCTGATCGCCTAGGTCAGGGGTCTGCAACCTTTAAGACATAAAGAGCCACTTGGACCCGTTTCCGAGAGGGAAAAAAAGACTGGGAGCCGCAAAACCATTGCAACATTTAAAACAAATCCGACCCTGCATATATTGCAAAAAGCGCTCTGGTCATGAAGGGAGGTTAAGGGCCCAGTAAGCAAAGGGTTAATCAGGGCCACAGTGTATCGTCATAATCACAATCATAGCCTTAGGTCCAGTGGTGGGCAACCTTTTTTTTTTTTTTTTTTTTCAACTGAGCCAAATCTCGCCAAAACCACGATTGAAATTTATTTTGAGAGCCACATTTTTAAAACTGAAAATACATCCCCCCATATAGTAATTCATCCCCCCGTATAGTAATTCATCCCCCATATTAAGTCCCCAAGTCCCCCCTGTGTCAATCCACTTACCTTTGCTCCGCGCGCTCCTCTCGCCGTGTTCCCGCGCCGTTCCGGTGTAGCATGAAAATCTGTCTCCTGTGAGGATCTGTCCCCCTCGACGTATCTGTGCATGTGCCAGTTTCAGGCATTAGCAGCCGATCAGCGATCTCCGGCACATGCGCAGATACGTCGAGGGGGACAGATCCTCATAGGAGACAGATTTTCACCGGTCTTCAGGGCGGACTGTGAGAGGAGCCTAGCGGGAGCCTAGCTCCGCGGGCCGGATTAAAAGGTCCGCCGGGCCGTAGTTTGCCCATTGCTGCCCTATTGCCTGTCACCTGGTGGGCAGTGTGCTCCGGAACCGCAGCCAAGGTGAAAAAGAGCCGCGGGTTGCCGACACCTGGCCTAGGTGATCAGACTGGAAGTGGAAGCGGGTACCTGTCAATTTCAGGTACCTGCTCCCCGCCCCCCAAAGGGCCAATCCTTAATGGGGAGCGGGGGGAGCAGTCCTTAAAATAGAACTTCTCCTTTTGGGTGCAGCTCCGCTTTAAGCTGTATGAAGGGTGGAAGGGGGATAAAAACCTTTTTTTTTTTTTTTTTTTTTTTTTTTTTTTAACCACTTGCCTACAGGGCACTTATACGCGCTTCCAGCCCAGGCCAATTTTCAGCTTTCAGTGTTGTCGCACGTTGAATTACAATTGCGTGGTCATGCAACACTGTACCCATATGAAATTTTTATCAATTGTTTTTAGACAGAGCTTTCTTTTGGTGGTATTTAATCACCATCAATTATTTTTTGCTAAACCAACCAAAAACAACTGAAAATATTGAAAAAAAAGTTTGTTTTTTTTCTTAGTTTTTGTAATAAAATTTTGTAAATAAGTGATTTTTCTCCTTCATTGATGTGCGCTAATAAGGCTGCACTGATGAGGCACTGGTAGGTGGCACTGATGGGCATTGACATGCATCACTGATGGGCACTGATAGGTGCCACTAACTGGTACTGATAGCTGCCAGTGAAGGGCAGCTCAGATGGGCACTGATATGTGGCATTGATATGCACTGATGTTGCATTGCTGAGGCACCGATGGGCACTGGCAGGTGGCACTGCTGCTGGGGCTACACTGATCATCAGGGCACACTGATCATCAGTGCCCTGATGATCAGTGTAAATGTCCCCTCTGATAAATGCCGATTTATCTGCTCTCCTCTCGAGCTGTCAGCGTGACAGCTCGTGAGGGGAGAAATGCCGATAATCGGCATTTCCCTATTTACTTTCGATCAGCAGTGATTGGATACAGCTGATCACATGACCGAGCCGAGGGACACAGTGCACCACCAATTGCTGCGCGCACCCGGTGCCGTGCATGCACGGTTAGTCGTAGGACGTCATGTGACGTCCTCCCAGAATGAGAGAACTGCCTTGCGCCCGTCATTTCCTTATATGGCAGACGGGAGGCGGTTAATAGCAAACTTGTCATACTTGCCTGCTCTGTGTAATGGTTTTGCACAGAAAAGCCCTGATTCTCCTCTTCTGGGGTCCCCCACCGGCGCTTCTGGTTCCTCCTACCTTCAGAGTGCCCTATAGTAACCCGCAACGTAGCCATGGACTACATATCCTATGAGGCATTGCTCTTCACACATTCACAAGTTCTCAGGCACTTACTGACGTGTGAATGCTGTACTGAGCTGTATGTGTGTCGCACTGTATTTTATGATATGTAAACAAATAATGCATTCTGTATGCAGGCCAACTAATCAGCTGACCAACTAATCGATTATGAAAATAGTTGACAACTATTTTCATAATCGATTATGTCGAATAGCTGTTTCAGCCGTAGTTATAATTCCTGCCAGGTTTCTTTTCCCGTCTGCATCCCATGGGGGAGATTGAGAGGAAGAGAGAGGAAAATCCCACCAAAGTGAAGGAATTCCTTATCGTCACCAGAGCTTGTATCCCCATTGGAAGGTTTCCCTTCTCTTTCTTTACTGGGGACAATTCGGGGATTTTTATTTTCGCTTTCAATGATAGTGGAAAACAGAACAATTAGAGAGGGTGAATCTCCCTAACAGGGGAGATTCACTGAAGTTTACAGTAAATTTGATCAGAGAAAACTACATTTACTAAGCAGGTCTTAAAGCAAACCTGCACTCTCTCAATCAACATGGACCATTTTTAATCGTTATGCTGCTAGCATTAGTAAATACATAGGAAAGTATGTCATATTTTACTTGGTTTAAACTTTTTTTTTTTTTTTTTTTTTTTAACAATTCAGTGGCTTCCTAATTTTCATGCCTATGCAGATGTCATACATTTCAGAAGTCTTCAGGAGGGGAGGGAGGGTTCTCAGCTTAGCCAATGCCTAAGCCAAGGGAAGATGGATTCCAGAAAGTAAATGTCACTTGAATAATCTGCCCTTACTCAAGATGGTCACTGCCAGAAATACCAGGGGGTGTTTTTCAAAATTAAATTTTCAGCTAAATAAAGCAGGGAGACATTTATGCATGAATGAGTTTGCTTTGAATATTAACAATTAAATTGCATTTTTGGTTTGTGGTGCTCAGACAGTGCAGTTCCACTTTAAAGCCAAGTGACTACGCTTTATTTTTCTTATTTAAGTTGTGTTATTGTTACCGACCTCTCTGTTTAGAAGATGGATCCGTATGAGCACCTTGGCATTATGCAGATTGTTTGTAAAAGCTCGACCTTTCTAGAGTAATGTGGTTGGATGAAAATCTGAATGGGCTTTTCAAAAGCAGGAAGTAAACCTATGGACTGCTAGTCTCCTCTCAACAAGTTACTATGTTACCATGTCAAACACTACAACAATATTTGCATGTGCATCATTAAATAGATGCATGTTTACATTTCACTGGCTTTGTGTACACTTGTGCAGACAAAAACTGCAAAGATTTCACAGTGTATCACACAGGAGAGGAATGCTGTATGCTATAAAATGTCATTTTAGATCTGTCTTGCTCAACATTAAAACTGAAGTTTCGATTATATTTTTTTATATTTAATCTATGTGCCCTGCCACTCCCCCCCCCCCCCCCCCCCCCCCAGCATGCTAATTACATTTTTAAATTAAAACCTTCTTATTTTAAGCCTGGTGACATCATCACTAGGTATTTGTGCTTCTCTATGTAGTACAGGCAGATTGTGGCTGTGGGAGGGTTTCCTGCAAACATCACAGCACCCTGTCTCAGTACTGGTCTCAAGAGCCCTCAGCTCTTGTGCAAATATCAAAATGCTTTGTTGGGTGAATGTCAGTCTGGAAGAGTGGTCATGGCCAGGGGCAGTCAGGCTATGCAAAACAAAATAAATTTCTGCATACCCCTGGGGGGAATTTTTGTTTTTGTCTTGGTCTTGTTTGATTACTGGTGAACCAGCAGATGAGTGTGTGGCAAAGGTTTACTTGGAGTGGTACACTCCATTTGTATTTGATCCCAGCTCAATGTGACCAACTTCTACAACCCAATTTCCAAAAAAGCTGTGTAAAATCTACATACACAGAGTGCAATGATTTTTCAGATCTCCTAATTCCCATAAATATGCCATATTGTATTCACAACAGTAAAAAACATATCAAATGTTGAAACTGAGAAAATGTACCATCTTAAGAAAAAAAATTAAATTGATGGCAGCATCATGTCTCAAAAATGTTGGGACAAGGCCATGTTTACCATGCTGTATCCCCTCTTCCTTTAATAACGCTCTGTAAATGTCTGGGAACTGAGACCAATTGCTGGAGTTTTAGGAGAGGAGTTTTGTTCCATTCTTGCCTCAGCATATGCTGCTCTAAAACCTGGCTATATCTTTCAGTAAAGATGGTGCCTTTCCAGATGTACAAGCTGCCCATTCCACACACTAATGCACCCCCATATCATTAGAGATGAGTGCTGATAACAAGCTGGAAGGTTCCTCTCCTCTTTTGCCAAAAAAGGTCAAGTTTTGGTTCATCTGACCACAGAGCATTTTTCCAGTTTGCAACATACCATTTTAAATGAGCTTTGGCCTAGAGAAGATGGCAGCTTTTCTGGATCATGTTCAGATATTTATTTCAGGTACTTGTATAGCGCTGTCAATTTACGCAGCGCTTTACATATATATATTGTACATTCACATCAGTCCCTAACCCTCAAGGGGCGTACAATCTAAGGTCCCTAACTCACATTCATACATACACATACTAGGGCCAACTTAGACAGGATCCAATTCACCTACCAGCATGTCTTTGGAGTGTGGGAGGAAACCGCAGTACCCGGAGGAAACCCACGCAGGCACAGGGAGAACATGCAAACTCCAGGCAGGTGGGGCCATGGCTGGGATGGTTTCAACTTTGCATAACAAAGCTATTACTTGCATTTTTGGATGGCACAGTGAACTGTGTTCACAGATAGCGATTATTTTTTTTTTTTTTTTTAAGCATTTCTGAGTCCACACATTGATGTCATCACAGACTCCTGCCTGTTTTTAATGCAGTGCCGTTTGAGGGCCCATAAGTTACGGGCATCCAATATTGCTTTTCAGCCTTGCAAACAGATATTTCTAGTTTTCTCTCAATATCTTTTGATATTATTTACTGTAATTATATATTTTAAAGTCTTTAACAATTTCAGAACAATGTTGAACATAAAATTGCAGACAATTTGTAGATGCAGCTTTTCAGATTGGTGAACTGCTGCTCATCTTTACTTCTGAGATTCTCTGACTCTCTCTAAGATGCTCTTTTTACACCCAATCACGTTACTGACCCGTTGCCAATTAACCTAATTGTTTTTCCAGCTCTTCCTTGTACCACTTACCTTGCCAGCTTTTCTCAGTTTAAACATTTGATATGTTTTCTATTGTGAATAAAATATGGGTTTGCAAATCATTGCATTCTGTTTTTATGTAGCTCTTGCATAGCGTTCAACCTTTTTTGGAATTGGGATTGTACTAGCTATACACTCCTTGGCCACTTTATTAGGTACACCTGTTCAATTGCTTGGTAGCACAAATTGCTAATCAGCCAATCACATGGCAGCAACTCCTTGCATCTAGGCATGGTGAAGACAACTTGCTGAAGTTCAAACAAAGAATCAGAATGGGGAAGAAAGGGTATTTAAAAGTGACTTTGAACGTGGCATGGTTGTTGGGGCCAGTCGGGCTGGTCTGAGTATTTCAGAAACTGCTGATCTACTGGGATTTTCACACACAACCATCTCTGGGGTTTACAGAGAATGGTCCGAAAAAGGAGAAAATATCCAGTGAGCAGCAGTTGTGTGGACAATGCCTTGTTGATGTCAAAAGGAGAATGGGCAGACAGGTTCGAGGTGATATAAAAGGCAACAGTAACTCAAATAACCACTCATTATACATCCAAGGTATGCAAAATACCATCTCTGAATGCACAACATTGAACCTTTGAAGGATAGAGATGGCATTTTTTTTCTCAAATGAACAAAATACCAAGTGTGAATGTGTTTTTTTTTTTTCTTTAGGAAAAATGGTACTTATTGCATTGCTCATGTGAACCTTGAAAACGATCATAGCATTTAAAACACTGACATGGCAATTCACTGAAATTCTTCAGGGTTTCAATAGTCCATAATGCTACTATTGAATGCTCTGATGTACAATTTTTCTGAATGTCAAACAAAATTGTATTGGAGGATGGACTTTAGTTGTAGGCTTGATATGGTTGTTTTTAACATGCTGCTCTGTAAATATAATAATCCCATTTTCCATATCCTTTGTTGTTTTGTCTATCATTGAAAATGGAGAAAACATAATACCAGAAAAGAGGCACTCTGTGCTTTGCTCTTAGGGATAAGGAAGAAAATAATTCTGTGCTCTGGGTGTGTGGTCTGGGTAGATACAGTATACATATATCACTTACAGAATGAATGGTGCAGGAGACAAGCAGAGTGTATCCATATAGTCTGTTGTACCTCATCACATCCGCCTTATTTGTATGACCTGCAGAGCTTCAAATTACTGGCAGAACGAGGAGGTCGGCATTGGCTCGAGTCAATGGCACTGCAGCTGCTGTGATGAATTCTTTCCTCTCCACCAGCATGCCAGACTCCATGAGATATTATTGTTCTAAGTCACTCCTTTAGACCTGGCCTTGGCTTTATTCTGCTCACTGACACACTATGAATAAAACAAGCCCCAGTCTGCAGTGAGAAGACACTGATGGTTTGGCTGCGTTGTTTGCATGAGCTGATTTTACTATTGCCTTTGACTGACATAACCTGATTTATTTTAAAAGTGTGTGCTTTAGTGTGCATCTGTGTGTAAGTGCAAGGTGTATTACTCTGCATTATG